TAGGGTTGTGTTTATTTAAAACTGAGCATGATAAATGAAGACAGACCTGCTGGTAATTTTCTTTCCTATATACTGTGGATTTACACAGGTATATCTGCTGAAGTTAGTTTCTTTCACTTTTTTCATTAACCAGATACCATACAGGCAATTAAATGTTATTTCTCTAATTCTTACTATCATTTACATAGATATACTGTACAACCCAAGTAGGGTGACAGGAAAAAACCTAGGTATTGATACACCATTGGTAACAGAAGTTCAGATGAACATTTGTGCTGATATTCTGATTAGGCCATGTTTGAATCTCATTATGTAAAACCTGAATAAACATATTGTAATTGTCCTCCTTAATAAGTCATATACTGTATCTAGGATGTAAAAGTACATTGTAACATTCTTAAGAACAAAATAAAAACATTAATAACATATAACTTAATGGATTTTTACATTGTACATGAAAAGAAAAAATATTACATTTATATTTTCGGTTATGTATTTGTGAAAATGCGTCATGTAATCACAAACTAAGGGAATGGGTTGTAGTTTCAAATCATTTGCATTTGAATGTTAAAGCTAGTTATCTGCTCTGCTAACATGTTTGCATTATAAGAATGTATTTATGTTTTCTAGACGTTCACAGCAAACATGCTTGAACAGAAGAAAGGTGCATTTTGCCTTGTTAGCCTGTGACGGTAGTTAGCCACCATATCGTCTTCATGAGGAAATGGCAGAAGGAGATGTTCAGTTTGTACATTGCAGCTAAAAATAAATTCCCTGCACCATGCTGAAAGACATCCACATAGGAAGAGCACAGGAACCACTCTCTATGTTGTATTCTTGCAATCCCTAGATAACTGTTAACAGCAAATTATAGACAAATAGGTCAGGCATGTGAATGCTGTCCATGCACACATACCTGCCTGCCCTTTTGAACACTCCTGACTGGGGGCTGGAGGAAGAAAAGGTTTTTTGCAGCAGGGGAGGGTGACTGAAGTCAAAGTGTCATGGTGCCTGGGGGGCTTATATGACATTTGAAGATATCCAACAGGAGATCTGACCTTGCTTTTACCTCACATCTAACAGCAATGACTTCTGAAGCTGCGAAGCTGCAACTTGGTCATTTGTACAAGCTTTGTGTTTGAGTTTTCAAATTTCTCTGCCACCTTTCACAGATCACCTTTTGCTAATATACCACACTTTTGCATCTAAGCCTTGGTTTCACAGTTCTTCCAAACTGTGGGGGGAAAAAAATGAACAATAATCGTTAAGCTCCTCAGAATGCATCGGTTTTGTGGTGAGACTTACAGAATAACCTCACCGTTTGGATCAGAAAGAATAAGGGATGCTACTTCTAAATCTCACTGTAGCTTTCCTTCATCGATCAGATAGATTTCTGGTCAGTGAACAACGAAATTACAAGGAGTCTCTGTGGCACGTTGCGATTAGCTACAGCTGTTTGCTGTCGTGCTGCAAGTAAAATGTCTATCCCATTCCCCCCTCCCCAGCCCCCAGCCTCCCTCTAAATGTTAAAGCAAACCGGGTTGTTTGGACTTAAAATAGATAGTTTTGATAGAATTGTTATAATTTTCTCTTCAAAGCTGTCTTGCACACTTCATTTCAGCCACCTGCTCTAGCTACTGCACATATTACTCAGTCTCGGGGGAGTCTCTGAATTTCATTGGCCTGCTGCGTCACCATGGCAACCACATTCCCTGTGCTGCTGTATGATTTAGGCATTGGTTAACAGCTCTTCGGAGGTTGGCTAGTTTGATACGCAAGTTCTCCAAAGCACCAGGAGCCCTGAGATATCAGCCCTTAATAAATGCTTTTGGGGGGTATATTTAGAGGAGCCTTTTTCTTTTAAGTAAGGCGGTGAAGTTGAATTAATAGCAATACAGAAAGAGAGGGGAAAAGAAAAAAAATTAACATCCTATTGCAATATTACTTTTGACAATCTATAAATAAATTCTAAAACGGGAGATGACGTTAAAATTGCCTGATCTTTTGGGAATAATGAGATGTGTCATGCTTTTAAGTCAGTGCCCCTGTAAGATGCAAGCCACAACTGATTTCCATTTGTGTGGTCACATGATTTCATTTCTCGCACGTTTTCTTTGATAGAATTCTGTCAAATTTATTTAATTTATTTATAGGCTCCTTGAATTTGGATGTGTTCTCTGACATATTATGCTGTAGAATGGATGTTGGAAATGTTTCCTTCTATTGCTTTGGGATTTGTTTAGATAGAGTGTTAAGATATAGTAATTTAATTAAATTATTCCTAAAATATTTCACAGAACCCTGTGCAAATACAGTATTTGGTGTTCTCTAGCACACCCTATTGGCTCTATCCTTTAGAGAATCCTATAGAATAGAGCAGAATCTTGGAATATGCAAAAGAATTCTAGAATATAACTATGAATACTACAGAACACTCAAAAATTGTATTCAGTGGAGACCTTTATAGCTAATGATATTCTCTATTATACACAATCCTTACATATACATGTATAACACAGAGGTTCCATAATGTCCATACATGGCAGAAATTAATTATGTGTTGCATAGTTTATGCATTTATATTTTATCTTTTTGTAAAAACAAATGTATACTTTACATTTAATAATGCATTTTATATATAGTATGCTCTACAAATCATCACACAGATCAACGTAATGAAAAATTGCACTAGAGCAAATTCATTATGGCCCAGTGGCTTAGTATAGAGAGCGAAAATCCAGAGCCCAAAAGCTATAGAATGCTGGTCAAATTGCAGGATGTTAGAAAAAATGAAGACAAACATTACAAAACTGTGATAGTTCTGGGAATGGAATATAATGGGAAAAGAGGAATGCAGAAGGATGTGTAGTAAATACCATCAGCAGTTTTTGTTTAATTTTGTAAAATGTGCTAAAATATTATATGTAGTGGTTCATAAAAACAAAAAGTGAGAAATAAAATCAAATTAAAAGTTATCACATTTAATGAACCTACAATAAACATACAATAATAGTCATTTATTTGGCTGTGGAATTACCATATAGTTATTTTTCATTATGCAAAAAGGGAAAATTATTTTACAACAATTTAATATGAAAAGTGCAAAATAATTTTGAATATATACAGTACAGTACACATTGGCGATTAGAAAATTTGTAACTTTGTCCTTTGCTGCTTGTAATGAAAAATATTCAAAGGGAATAAAAGGAAAAAATTAGCAAAGAAAGTGGAAAAGGCCAGGCAAATTAGTTTGTGCGCCTTTCCCTTGGTTACAATTACTAAAACTAAAGCAATTATATTACACTGTGAATTCCCACATAGCCCCACACAGAAATATCAAAATGAAAACTTTTAATGGACACTTATGAGACTGTAAAAAATACCATAATCACTGAACTGGAATGAGGAAAGCATTTACAGTAAGTCACCAAAGGAGATGATAACATTGTTATTTTTTTTGTTTTTCTCTGATGGTTTTTGGCTGCGTCTCTCAAGAGTACTGTCAAATACCTTTAATACAAAAAAGAAGCGTTCATTTCAGGCAGTAAAGTCAGCATCTATAATGCATTTCATTGAACTTCAATTTAATTTTCCAGTTAAAGAAATTGCAGGCTTTGTTCAGGGTCCAGGGAAATGTACTGTACCTGTGGAGTTGGGACTTATTACGCTTTTCTGAAGATCACATTGCTGCCCTGTAATTTTGAACTCTCGAAAGACAGACTGAACATTCCTAATAATAGGTTACGTAATTGCAATAAACTACATTAGGAGAGTACTTACTCAACTTTGTTTCATTGAAATGTGAACTGTGCCTATGCCAGTACACCTGATCTGTAAATTGTGGAGTAAAATTATTAATAGGCTTCACATCCTGGTTGTGATATTTTGGGAATGTTCATTTTTTTCACCTCATTTACTAATGAAGAGTGTCATCATTAGGAGATTCTCCTTAAGCTTTTGGTTCAATTTAACTCCGTACTGAAAGCTGGAGCTGGGGGTTCAAGGTTTTCAGAAGAGATCTGAAATGATATCTGAGCTGATGGATCAGAGTAAAATACATCATCTGTCTTTCTTTGAAATGAAGCTAGTGCACTTTTTAAGTTTTGAGCAGAATATTTTAAAAATTATTATCCATCCATTTTCAAACAGCTTCTTTCAATTCAGGGTTGGGGGGGGAGGGGGGGACTGGAAGCCATTCCAGAAAGCAACAGACACAAGGCAGGGTAAACCCCAAACAGGATGCCAGGACAGACAAACAGACATGCACGTAAGGGCCAGTTTTCCCAAAAGCCATTTAATCTGTAAACTCCATGCAGATAGCTCCTCAGGTATTAAAGCCAGAATTCCCATGCTGCAAGCTAGCAAAACTAACCACTGCATCACCATAATGTTATTATGATATTTCATATTCAACGAAAAAATACATTTACAGTACCTATGGTTTGCATTGTTTCTTCAATGGCATTCTGAGCTTCCATTTATTAACTGACATTGTGCCTGAGAGCACATCCTCTGCATTCCTAAAAGGTATCTTGCTCATTTCTGTGAGATATATGTAGGGTCACCTAAAACCATATTCTGGTTATATGGTTAGGTGGCTGAGCCTTTTTTTTCTTTTTCTGCCTTGTTTACACTCCTCCTCACAAAATGAGTTTGACAGGAACCATCAATAATGCATGGGCCCGTTTTCTACTCAGAGTTAACTGTTTTTTATGAAATCACTACCCAATCTCTGATATCACTTAAAATTATACATTTATTATAGCAGTATTAGAGTGATAAGAAATTATTAATTGAAATATATCATGGTACATGTAAGAAGTGACTTATATGCCAAATGTCTATACTGTATGTTACCTTGATTCAAAACCAATGCGCAACGTCAGTATGGCTCTGTTTTTATCATTCCTTTACCTGAAATTGTATGAAAGGGATTTCCTTGCACCTATGTGATCCTCTTTTACATTTCATAAGACCTTTGTCTTTTGCCTCACAAACAGTGAGTTCTCCAGGAAGGAAGTAGTGGACCCTCTCCATCCGCCTTTCCTCATCCAAATCCCTGGCAGAACACCAGCAGTGGCCCAGGGAAAGAGAATGGAGGCTGTGGAAAAAGAAAAATAGTCTGTAGTCCACTTTATTCTGCAGAATGATGGAATGTCAGCTGCCAAGAAAGATAGTCCAGAATGGTAAGATATCAGCAGTGAAACCTCTGACACTATCCTGACTTGGTGTACCATGATAGGAGGAAATACCAGATAGAAGGAGAAAAACTACAGTTCCCACAACTCTTGAGTTCCACTGCACAGGAAAAGGGTCAGCAGGAGTGTATAAACCAGTAAGGCATCTGTAATCCTTTGCAGCGTCAGGGCAATGATGAGGGCAGGGCAACCAGACTAAGAGCCTGGAGAAAGAGGATCAGGCTGAGAGGGCTGGGGAGTCTGGCATTAGGCCTGATAGCGAAAAGAGAGTTAGCTTGGTGGTTACTTGTAACAAAAATATACAATGTATTTTTTGTCATGGGTCTGATTTCTGAAATATAATAATTTATTGTCTTGCCATTTGTTAATATCAGATCCTATGGCTGGAGATTTTGTGCTGTTCTTCATTGTTGTTCCAATATTATACTGAATTGTCTCACAGCTCACAGACCTGAGATGCCAGTTTTTAAACTTTAATTTACCAGAATGAAAAATAATTTGGAAACTATCTTCATTACAGGGCATATGAGAAAAGTATAATATTACTTACTCTTTTTGTTGACTTTTTTCTTACCATTTGCCTTAGGGACACTTGGGACCTCTGGAAGTTATGCTCTGGAAGTTATGCTGAAGTCATTAAATAAATGTGTGTTTAGTTATTGAAAAACAACCTTTTGCCCCAGCTGCCTAGAAACATGTGATATGTTCAGTTTGAAAGTATTGCACTAGTCCTACAATAGAAAGCTCTTTGAATTTATCCCTCCCTTGAAAGTCTGGTGTTGTGGTAATTAGTGATGCTGTCTCAGAGATCTTGGTTCTTAGATTCCAATCTACAGTGGAGTGCATTCATGGTGGAATTTGACTCTAGGTTTTCCCTGTGTACATGTGTGTGCATGTTCTCTGAAGGCCTCTTTGCTTGCAGCATGTGTTACAAGTTCTGTACTTTTTTCTTTGCTAGAAATAAGCAGGTTTCTAATAAAGGATATTAAGCATGTGGATTTTTTTTCTGACATAATCTAAAGGAATAACTCAACTTTTTATAAAGCTGGAATAACAAAAATAAAGAGACATGGCAGACAGGCAATAGTAGTAAAAAATGGTTTCTTGATCAAAGCCCTTGATCATAAAGCTGAAGGCACACCCTCAATAAAATCTGAATAATAGATAAAATATTTCTTTGTATTCAAGGTTTCATAGCAAGACAATAATCAGTGTACCTCTCATACTGCCTGTCAGAAATAATAGTGCAAATTACCACTTTTTCCAGTCATGTGGTCTTTTAAAAAATGTTTAGGTCTATATTTTATGATTAGACACATTAAAGACATGGAAGACATAGGGCACAACTAATGATGATATGTTCAAAGGTTTTGAACTTTAATCTTGGCAGGAAAGATCATAATTCATGATTTGTTCAGCATTTTTTTCACAGTAAGTTGTATCCTTGTAGATTAATTCAGTCTGGCTGTGGGAACCCTTGTTCATTATTTAGAACATTGATTTAAACAAAATATCCTATTAAGGCTTTCCCACGTGGATGGAAAATAATTCTTTACATTTGTGCAAATATTGCCACTGGAACTACACATCTTTCTTAAAAGTGTTCTTTAGATAAGATTATCTTGTTAATCCATCTCTTCCACTTCATTTAGCATTTAGTGTAATTTTGGCTGTGTCCCTTCTTTTAGAAAAGTGAAATGTGTAAAAAACAAAGCAGTCAAGAATTCAAGGCCTTGAAACATAACATTTAAATCTTTAGTACATATGCTGTTAGGAGCCGTGGTAGCTCAAACGCCAAGGGTGCCTAGTTCCTGACTGGAAGGTCCCAGGTTCAATCCCAGGTATGGGTAAGCGATATAGCTCGCTCTAATTCCTTCCAGACAGCTCCCAGGTCCACTCAGCCTCCATTCCAAATGAGTACCAGGAGTCAATCCTTCTGGGGGTAATGGGCTGGCTGGAGTGTGACCACATCACCTCCATCTCCAGTGTTGGATGGTTGAGGAAAATGGTGGCCCTTTCCCCCCATTTCCCATGGGCCTTTATGGCCTGAAAAGGGACCTACCTACTGTACGTATGCAGTTAAAGGGTGTTACTTGAATTTTGGTTAGTTTTCCAGATTTCAAAAGACAAGGCTGACTTAAAGAAGAACTGCAGTCCCAATTTCTCAGACCGGTTATAGAATTTTGGTAACTAAATGAATTCGTTGATGATATAGAAAAAAAAATCCTAATCTAGCACAAAATCATTAACTCTGTGAAAGCACTGTAAGTCACCATGTTGTCGCCAACTCGCATTAGAGTTCCCACAGATCGCGATGAGATGTGGCCATTCCTACTCACCAGTCACTGTAATGTACAATTGCGGAAATACAAATTGTGCAGCAAACTGTCTCAAAATCGAAAGCAATATTTGTATTGGATTAAAAGAGATGTACAGTACTGTATGTACAAGCGTGCGTGTTTACAATGTCACATGGCACCGGTAGTTTTGCTGCCATTCTGAATCGCAGAACATCGCGCTGTGCATACCTGGATATCTTTTGTTTTGTGATGCAAATTGGAGGTTTGACAAGTTACTGTGTATGTTTTGCTTTTATTGCAGTTTGAAATGCACACATCAAAGCTGATTCTTTCTAAACCTGGAATATGAAAATAGCATTGCTTAGAGTTGTGTCATTTGCATTTAGAAAATATTTCCCTTTCAAATATATCTACTAGTACAGTTTAAAATTGCAACCTCGTTAAAAAAACAAATCAAAACCTCAGTGGAAAAAATAGTGAACCCATCTGTTCATTATTTAAAATGTTGAATGGCAGGACATACTATGTGCTCCAAAAGATAGGCAGTGTCATAGTGGCACAGTGGTTACATTGCCTTGCAACACTGGGGTCCTGGGTTCTATTCCTAGGGTACGTTAATTGGCTTCTGGGAAAATTGGCCCTTGAGTGAGTGTGTCTGTGTGTGCCCTGCAATGGACTAGTGTCCTGTCCAGGGTGTATCCTACCTTGTGTCCATTGCTTGCTGGGATAGGGTCTACCTCCCCTAACAGTTAGAAACTGAATGGATGTTTGTTTCCAAAGGGCTACTGAGGTGAACCCTTCACCATTTATGTTTCATTGTGTAATTGAGTGCAGTTGTCTCAAAAAAAGTAGAGAAAAGTTCTATCTAGTAATATTTAAGCAAATAATATTCTGTTGGCAGTATTTAGCTTTTAACCATCCTTTAGTCAGTAGACAGGTAAAAAAAATCTCAGAGATCAATAAACAAAGTCCATAGACACATTCAGGTATGGAAAGTGTGGAGGAGGAAGACATCAAATATGACTTATCTTTCATTGTGCAGCTCATGATATGATAATCAAGAGGCTTTCTCTTACAGTATATTACTTCAGGTTATACTGTAGCTTATGAGTAGGTGAGGCATTTTTATCCAAAGGTACAAAGGATAAGTAATGGCTCATAATTAAAGGCAACATCTCAGTATAGTATAATTTTACATAGACTAGGTTTGGTTACAGTAATAAAAATAGACAGTATTTACTTGAAAATGAACAGCATACTCTTGTAACATTGCATGGTATTGAATCTTACACTTGTGGTGTGACACAGCACTTAGACAAAGAATTGTTATAAATTAGGAAGAATGTAACTGTAATGCAAAAAAATGCACTTTGAGTTTTAACATTTTTGTAAAGTAATTTTACCTATAACAGTATTACACTAACTTGCAACGATTTTTGAAACATGAAGTGGACATGTGTTTTGTTGATAGGAGTAGCCTTCATTAGCTACTACTTTAAACTTTCATTTCCAGGTTCTTGTGATTTTACTCCTGGTAGCCATTATTTTCATTCCATTTTTCTGCCGTTTCAGTACAGTAAATGCACTTAGAATGTCTTTAACTGAAGAGATGATGTCTATATGAAGGAGGTGTGTGAAGTGAATCAAGGAACTGCACTATGCTGTAATATAACAGGGATGGTGGAGGGCTGTTGTGCAGTGATCCAGGGAGAGGAAAGACTGTCTTACCATCACAGTGATGTGGTAAAGTGTGATGGGTGAAAACTGTGGTACTCCTCTTCTTTGCACTAACTCCACTTGAAATTCTACAATGTAATCCCTGAGAGAGTGGGACACTTTCTAATGGGTTTCCTGACAATCCTTCTCATTGCAGCATGCTAACATTATACAGTATTAGGTCACATTTAATTTTTGAATAAAACGTATCAATCTACACAGCGTAATTACTATGTTTCCATAATTATTTCTAATACTGTATAATAACTGCAGAAAAGCTTGGCAAACATATTGGGATTTACAACATTTGTATTTCATTCTAAATTAAAAATGAATAAAAGGAACCCAACAAATGATCAGAGATTTCAGCTGATAGTGCATTTTGTTTAAATTTTACATAGTGGTTGTAATGGTAAAAGCTTTCCTTAATGTCTTTTTATCTGTACTAGGAAAATTAGTGAGGTTTTGTCAGTTGTTCAATAGGTAAAGTTATTTTTTCAGGGCAGAGGCTGATCCATCTTGAGATGACATTGCTAGCCCAGGTCTGAGTTTTATCATTGGACAAGTATGACTGGGCTTCTCTGGGTAACTCCTATTTCTGTGCCTTTGGGGTTGGGTGGATTTTGATCAACCCTGGCATCTTCTTCTTGCTGGCCAACTTGTGAACCGGTCAGTGTTGCTCCTTCAGTCAATATGATCCTGAAAAATGGGATATGTCTCTCCACGCGCTGGTATGAGAGCCCTAGTGCTGAGTCGATTGAGCTGAGTAACAATTGGTGAATCCAGATTGGGAGGCCATAAAAACCAAAAATAATTTGGCAACTCCAAAATTAAAAAAAAGTGCAGTGCCAACAACATAGGTCTAAAGCTTACTAAATCTCCTGGAAACTAAAACATCAGTGATGCATTATGATGTGTATCCAGTGCTGACTTCTCCTTTACATTGCCAAGAGCTGTTGACCACAGCCCTGTTTATCTTTTAGTTTTCGCTGATCAATGCAGACGAGATTGTCATACTTCATTGGCCAGTTCTCGCCGGCACACACAGGACTCCTTTTTTGTTGAGTCAGGAAGAGAGTGGTTTAGGAGGGAGTTATGTCAGTGTGAACTGAATGCAGTTCTATGAGAGAATTAAACAGAGCAGACAACATGGGTGTGTTGAACTGTAGGGATATTATCATACTATAGAAAAGAAGAGAAAGATGTTTTAGCAAAGAAGTTCATTGATGTGTTTAAGGTCCCTGAAAATGCATCCACTATAAAACACAGATCAATAGTTTTGTTGTTTCTCCCACCACTAACCATTTCCTCCCTTGGCTAAATCACACTCATAAAAAC